ACTGCCTTGCCTTCTCACAAATAATCGACTCCACAACACTGTCTCCCACTATTTCATTTTCCTTAATCCACAATAATAATAACTTTTCCATCTCTTCCATTATTGGTGGCCTTTGATTAGTTAGAAAATTTTACTCCTTCTGCGATATTAGCAGCCTTGATTTGTTCTTTCTTTGCCATGATGGATGTAATTGTTGATTTATTCTTGCTGTACATCCTGGCAAGTTCCACCACCATCATACCACTCTCAAACTTTTCTATCACTTCACGCTTAAATTCCATGGTGTTTCTCACTTTCTTTACCACAAGAACTTTCTTTGGAGCCATGGTTACTTATTTCACAGTTGCACTGCAAAAATAACACAAACTACAATGAGAAATAAGCGAAATGTTTGGGTGTATAAGCAGAAGCTTCGTCAGCCATCGAGACACACAGCCAAACTGACATGGAAGCGGCCCCAGCCGGCGGACGGACGCGTCCTAAATGGCCGATCACCTAATTAACAACCGATAACTGGGCGCCAAAAAACCAGCTGATCACCGAGTTGGCCGATAACTGGGGATCCACTGTACTCAAACATCAGCAAAAATCAAACATTTCTGGTACTTTGAGCTCAATTTCAAGCTATTTTCCGTCCTAAAACCATCTTCATTTCTGTAATAAATCTTCCATTCTGTCAAATGAGACTATGAAACCATGAATACAAACATAAAAACCATACAAAAATACACCATATAATCAATGTTTTAAACCAAAAACACTGTCGCAGTTTTTTCTGATTATGCACTGAGTGCTGCAGAATATTTTTTATATGGTGCACACTTACCACATACTCATTCTTTCATAACTAGGCCCAAATTTAAAGTTCACAGCTTATCTGAGTGAGCTGAGCTCATCTAGTAGTACTATAGCACAGACCCTGGCTTTAAACCTTTAAAACAGCACAGACCCTCAAAGGGTTAATGCATTAGTAAGGAAATTGTGCATGATGATGTTCTGTTGTTGTTTGTTGGTATGAAAGCAGAGGAGATGCTAGGGTTAATCTCCATTTTGCTGTTGGGCATCCAGGCTAGGAGGAGTTACCCACTCTACTTTTGGGTAAAATGTGAGTTGCTCAGGAGGTAACACTTATAGGCATAATAGAGGCTCTCTTTGCATTGCAACCCACTATTGTAAATACAAAATCTCAATGTACTGTTTGCAAAGACATAAAATAAATAAATAAATAAATAAATAAATAAATAAGTAATCAAAATATTGATGTAACACTAATACTAAAGTGGTTACAGTGTGTCAAAACAGTGGGTAAAGGACCCAGGCAGAGAGAAGTAATATTTGTTGGCAGATGGGACTATTAAAAGATTAACAAGCTTGACTTGTACTGCTGAGTTGATTTTCTGGTAAAGTTATCTAAAAGATGGGTGTCAGATGTTTGGACAGGGGTGCAATTTCAGGGCTTTCCACACATGCTATTTTTCGTAGATACGTCCCTGCCTACATTGTAGTATTCTGCTGGGCAGTGGTCATGATATCTGACTTGCTACCAACTTTCACATCAAGTACATAAGTGCTTCTCTTTGTTGGATCATGTATGATCAGGTCCAGCTCATGAAGTCTCTCCACTGTACCTACGATTGGCTCATTAACTACCATGTACTGACAGTCTCTGGCAATGGAAACTATGATAAGGTCATGTCATTTCAATCTTTGTTCATGTGTTGTAGGACATGTTCGGAGTATATGGCCATGTGTTTCATAATGGATACATCATGCATAGCTGAAATTATGCAGACCTCTCCTTTCTTGAGACTTTCTGTGAGCACAAGATTGCATTTTATCTTCAGAGCATTAATGTACGTACTCTGCTTTCATCAATGCAGTACCATTTTTCATGGCTGTATGAACTTGTGGCATTATTCAATGTTTTTGTAGGCCTGCACAATCTACAGGGTGCACAAAGAACCACTGTCAAACCCTATTGTGGCATTATACCAATGGAAATAAATTTCACTCCAATGTACCCCAACGGAAATGGTGCACTTCTGTTAGAAATGAAAAACTAGATTTACATCACAGAATACTGAAAACTTGAGCTATATTGCATGGTTTAAGAACAAAAGAAAGGAGGAACACTGCAATAGGCCTGTTGGTCCATACTAGGCAGATCCTTCATAAATCCAACCCACCAACAGAATAAACGCTACCCAAGCAATAAGCGTTGACAATTCTATTTACTCACGTGCAAGTCCCACTCAAATCCATCCCCTCTCACTCATGTACTTATCCAACCTAAATTTGAAAGTGCCCAAGATTTTAGCTTCGATGCCCCTACTAGGCAGACCGTTCCACTCATCAACTACCCTATTACCAAACCAGTACCTATATCCTTTCTAAATCTAAACTTATCTAATTTGAATCCATTATTGTGGGTTCTCTCTTGGAGGGATATCCTCAAAACTTTATTTATATCCCCTTTGTTAATACCCATCTTCCACTTACACACTTCGATGATGTCTCCTCTCAATCTTCATCTTACAAGTGAATGTAGTTTCAGGGTCTTCAATCTTTCTAATGAATTTATGTCCATTCTGTAATATGGAGACCAGAACTGAGCTGCATAATCTAGGTGAGGCCTTACTAATGATGTATAAAGCTGTAATATAACCTCTGAACTTCTGTTGCTTACACTTCTTGATATAAATCCCAGCAATCTGTTTGCCTTATTATGTACGCTTAGGCATTGCTGTCTTGGTTTAAGATTGCTGCTTACCATAACCCCCAAGTCCTTTTTGCAATCTGTATGGCTAAGTTCTTCATTATTTAACTTATAAGTGCTGGTTTTATGGACCCTCCTGAGCTTCAGAACCTTGCATTTATCTACATTGAACTGCATCTGCCACTTTTCTGACCAAGTATTGAGTTTCTCTAAATCCTCCTGAAGTTCCATGATATCTACATTTGAATCAATGATCCTACCTTTCTGTCATCAGCGAATTTGCTCATTTCACTAGTAATTCCCTCACCAAGATCATCGATATATATTATAAACAACAACAGGCCTAAGACTGATCCCTGTGGAACGCCACTTGTTACAGATTCCAACTTGGATTTAACCCTATTTATGCACAGTCTCTGCTTCCTATTGGTGAGCCATGACTCGATCCAGGACAGCACTTTCCCATCAATGCCATGAGCAGCCACTTCTTTAACCCATAAACGGTCAAAATGTATATATACGTTTTTTTAACATTTGATAGTATATAAAAAAAGTAGATTTTTTTTTTTTTACATTTGAAAACATGTAAAAAATCTTTGATCTACTTTTTTTTCTTTGTTATATTTGAAAATATGTAAAAAAACATAGATCTACTTTTGGAGCACTACGCATGTGAACGTAGATCTGGTTGGACCGTTTACGGGTTAACAGTCTTTGGTGCAGTACTCTATGAAAAGCCTTACTAAAATCTAAATAAACAATATCAAATTCTTTATCATGATCAACGGCCTCAAAAGTTTTACTGATGAAGGTTAATCAATTAGTTAGACAAGAACGGCCTCTCATGAATCCATGCTGAGTATCATTAATCAGATTATGCTCATCAAGATGGCTTCTTATAATCTCATATATAATTGACTCTAGTAATTTGCCTACAATTAAGGTTAGGCCTATTGGGCGGTAATTTGACGGTAATTTTGACATTAGCCATCTTCCACATATCAGACACTACATCTGTTTGAAGAGATAAATTAAAATTATTAGTTAATGGTTCAAAGAGTTCCATTTTGCATTCCTTAATTACCCTTGAAAAAAGCTCACCAGGACCCAGTGATTTATTTTGTTTCATTTGGTCTACTTGTTTCATACCATTTCGCTAGTGACTGTAATAGTACATAATTTATCTTCTTCAGGCCCACTATAAAAATTTATTACTGGGATACTGTAAGTGTCTTTCTGTGTGAAAACCGAGAGAACATAATTATTAAAAATCGAGCACACTTCATTCTCCTTGTCAGTAAGATGCCCAGAGTTATTTTTAAGAGGAACTACGGTATAGTACTGTATATATACTGTACAGCATGTGCAAGAAAGGTATAAAATGCCAACAATATGAAAGTTTAGACACAGGTGCAACATCTGGATATCTTTATTGTAGACATTTTGCCATCCAGTGGCTTTATCAATACAGATTCTAGGACATAATTAGAAGACAGTAGAACTATATACAAAAGATGAGGTAATCAGTCCCTCAGCCTTGGAGTTAGTGTTCACAGCATTGTGGTGGAGGAGAATCTGGAGCAAAGGCAAGAAGACTGGCAGTTATATAGGCGTCAGTGGATAAGGACGTGTAGCAGACGAGGGCATAGTCACTGGCAGGCAGGATTCCCCAGTGGAAGCAGGTCCTACCCAAAGGGATGGGTTAGTTGTAGCAGCCGTGAAGAATGTCTTGTAGATGTCCTCTGAACCAAGATTCCACGGCTGCTACAACTAACCCATCCCTTTGGGTAGGACCTACTTCCACTGGGGAATCCTGCCTACCAGTGACTATGCCCTCGTCTGCTACACGTCCTTATCCAATGACACCTATATAACTGCCAGTCTTCTTGCCTTTGCTCCAGATTCTCCTCCACCACAATGCTGTGAACACTAACTCCAAGGCTGAGGGACTGATTACCTCATCTTTTGTATATAGTTCTACTGTCTTCTAATTATGTCCTAGAATCTGTATTGATAAAGCCACTGGATGGCGAAACTTCTACAATAAAAATATCCAGATGTACAACATGTCCAGTGAAGGCCACTTATTACAGGAACATGGTTACACATTCACTAATGGAAAATAGACCTGAATGCATCCAAAAAAAGCCATTATGTTAAAACTAACAATTAATAGATATTGTACATAACAAAAACTGTTCTATAATCAAACTAGCTGAGATTAGGAGACTGAGAATAATCTATTGTGCAAAGATGCAAGTAGAAAAAAAAGTAATTGACTTACCAAGATTATTGACGATGCTAAAGTAACTGCCACACGAAACACGTACAGCACACTGATCCTTCCAGCAGAGATCACAGCATCTATTAGGGCATCTATTGTGTTGTTCTGTAACTCATTCCACACTGTAAACATTTCAGTCTTCAATGATATATTCTGTAAAGGATACATATATAGCTATGAATTACACATTACAGACATGCCATCAAATACTCTATTTTTGAGCATATAAGATGTGCTTTTTCCCCAAAAAAGAAGTCTGCGAAAATCACTCTGGGCCTTATATGTTCAAGGTAAGGTCAAAGATAGGATTTGGGATATGCTTTGGGTTACACTTTAGCAGTTGTTTACTAATGTTTCATTACAACTGTTCGTAAATGTTGTGCCAGTAAGCACCCAACACTCATGCACCTTATATGCTGGAAAATACAGTACACATAAAAACACAAGTAATAAAGACCCTTGTGCTTTCTGTAAGCAATAATTCAATAATGTAACTTTGTACAGTATGAGCAGTGCATTCCTGCTAAAAGCACACTGGTAATATTGACTGGTATACAAATACAGTGGACCCCCGGTTTACGATATTATTTCATTCCAGAAGTATGTTCAGGTGCCAGTACTGACCGAATTTGTTCCCATAAGGAATATTGTGAATTAGATTAGTCCATTTCAGACCTCCAAACATACACATACAAACGCACTTACATAAATACACTTACATAATTGGTCGCATTGGGAGCTGATCGTAAACCGGGGGGTCCACTGTATACTGTAAAAAAAGGTACAAAACATTTTTCACAATTGTAATTTTTTTTGCCTAGCATAAGGCAGAAGTTTACTACAAGTTTGAGATCTAGTCTCGCTATCAAATTTAAGGTCCAAAAATCAACAATTACCAGTTATTTTTATACCTAAACTAGCTGAAATCAAGTGATGGAAATGCTAGATTCTGGCAAAATGCTATTTTTCAAACTGGTTTATCTAAGCCTATGCAGTTACCTGTAGCTTAATGTTCTTAATTATCAACTTCTGCAAATTTTCATGTACAGTGGAACCTTGAATTATGAGTACCCCAAGATACGGGTTTTTCAAGATACGCACCGTCGCTTGGTTGATTTTTTGCTCTGAGTTACAAGCCAAAATGCAAGTTACGAGCTAGCTTCCCCCTCAACCCACAACCCGCACACCTCGCTTGTGTTTATCTATGATATCATGCTTTAATTCCATGGACATCATCCTCTTTTTCTTCTCGGCACTGTCCTTTGCACTTACAGTGGACCCTCGGTTTTCGTGTTTAATCCATTCCAGAGCCATCGGTCAAAAGTGAAATCAGCCAAAACCGAAACTATTTTCCCTATAAGAAATAATGTAAATGGAATTAATCGTTCCAGACACCCAGAAGTATCAACAAATTTTTTTTTTTTCCTTAAAGATACATTTACATGCACAAAAGAATTAACATTACACATGACATTTACCTTTATTGAAGGCTGTTGTTGATGGATGGAAGACAGGGAGGAGGGGAGAGAGAAGAGAGGTTATTGTTTGGAAGGGGAATACCCCCTCCATAAGGACTCTAGGTACCAAAGTCCTTTTCAGGGGTCAATTCCCTAGCTTAAATATAGATTTACATGCAGAAAAGAATGACAAATAAATATAAAGCACTAATAAAATGCATAAATGAACATTTAACATCACACTTACCTTTATTGAAAAGACTTGGTGTATGGCAGACTGGGCGGAGGGGGGAGGGAAGCGAGTTTTTTGTTGGAGAATATGACACTAATATCAACTCTATGGCTTATTTATCACAATTCAACTAATATGACATAATAAACAATATTAATGACATAGAAACATGACATGTACTTTAGAATGAATAAAATAAGTCATGCATGTAACGACAGGTGTTCTATTGTTGTTGGTGGGTGTATAAGGGCCATTGTGAGCATAAGCTGTACATAAATGTTGGTGAAGGCTGCAGCTGAAGCGGCAGTGTTTTCTGTAGCCCTATATAACTCCAACAACATTGGAGGGGTTAGCAGAATCGCTGAATCACTGAAGAAGGCACCCTTTACCACCACTCATATTTTTTTACAAACTTTTTCTTGAATTATATGATGTTTCTCACATTCTTTACCAAAGGGCTGGCACTAGATTTTTTCTTTGGGCCCATGATGGCTTATTTAGCAGTCACACACAACAAACACACGGCAAAAACATTGGATTCTTACGAGATGCTTCATATGACCTGGCAGGATATGTTCACTCATGGAGAAACGCTACACTGGCTGAGAATGCGTGGGAGGTGGCTTTGCTATGCAAATAACCTGTACATAGAAGAGAGGAGCTTACGACGACATTTCAGTCTGACTTGGACCATTTACAAAGCCACACTAACGAAAAGGAGAGCGGGAAGGGGGGGGAGGAGGAGGGAGGAGGGGGGATGGAGGGTGAGGAGGGAGGGGAGGGAGGGGAGGGAGGGGAGGGAGGGGAGGGAGGGGAGGGAGGGGAGGGAGGGAGGGAGGGAGGGAGGGAGGGAGGAGGGAGGAGGGAGGAGGAGGAGGAGGAGGAGGAGAAGGAGGAGGAGGAGGTCGTCATCGTAGTAGTATTAGTGGGGAGGTAGTAAGAGGAGGAGGAGCCAGTCAAATACAAAGAAAGAGGAGCACTGCAAGGGAGCTAGGTGCCCACAGAGGGTAAGAGCAAGAACACCGAGGAGGGGAGGAAATAAATAAATAAATAAAGAAGGAACAAATACACAGTGCAGAAGAAAGACAACCCAAATGAGAAAAAGGAAAGAGGAAAGGGAAAGAGGGAAAAGAAGAAAAAGGAGGAATCAGGTGGCTTTGTCTGCATGCTGGACAATGGACAGGTTCCGTACGATCAACGAAAATGGAGGTAATCGAAGAAATGCAACCAAAAAATCGATGAAAAAAGTCAGCCAAAACCGAAATCAGCGATAACAGAGATTGACAAAAACGGAGGGCCCATTGTACTTTCTTAGGACCCATGATTAGAAAAAAGAAATTTGGCAAAATAACTGCACAAAATGCAAGCAAAACACAAGAGAATTGCTTCCATGGTGAGGTAAACATTGCACTGCTCAGCTGTTGTGACGTTCGCTGTGCCAACTAGCGGCGGCATTCTGAAGCTCCACATTATTATAATAATAATAATTATTTTCTTTTTTATTAACACATCGGCCAATTCCCACCAAGGTAGGGTGGCCAGAAAAAGAAAAACTTTCATCATCATTTACTCCGTCACTGTCTTGCCAGAGGAGTGCTTTACACTATAGTTTATAAAACTCCACAAGGGATGAACATGGGGAATATTTAATAGCTAAATTTAAATCCAAATACCTACAAAAACCTCTCCAGTGATAAACATCCACAGAGTATCACAGTCAAATACAGGAAGGCCCCACTTATACGGCGGGTTAGGTTCCAGGCTACCGCCGTAAAGCGGAAACCGCCGTAAAGTGGAACACCCTTTTATTTTCCTTGTAAATGCATATAAATGCTAGATAACGTATTTACACTGACATATATTAAATTAGCAATAGAACTAAGCATTAAAAAAAACAATGAAAAGTAAAATTACACACAGTACATTTATTACATACCTTTAATTACTTAATATGAATGTGTGAGAGGTGAGTGGCAATGTAGTTATTGAATCAAATCAGGAGATGGCAGACCATCATGTGTTTCTTATATAATTTTGAAAAAAATATCATAGATAGATTAAGGGAAATGTCTATATTAACGTAATATGCGACATTAATGCGCCCAAGAGATTATTATTATTACTATTATTATTACTATTATTACTATTATTACTATTATTATTATTATTATTATTATTATTATTATTGCATCAAGAGTAGAGAGACTCTTAGTGATTTTAATGTGTACCTACATGAAAGCAGTGTGTAAGTTTATTTAGGTACAGGTATACATAAGTATAATTATCAGAGTATATATAAATTATGAAATAACTTTTAAAAACATTTGAAATTTTGGAGTTTCCAGACAAAATGGAGAGACTTAGTGCTTACTGAGCTCATGGAGAATGTAAACAAACAGGGTGGGGCACGGTGACCGTATTAGAAAGTCAGGTGGGGAGAGCCGTATAGCGAGTTTTGGTCATAATTTGAAATGTCCGTATTAGCGGAACGCCATAAAGTGAAACGCCGTAAAGCGGGGCCTTCCTGTATTAGACATTTTAGTGAAAACCTAGGAAGTATAATAACTGATGCACACATGAATAAAGATCACTTACTACTCTCAGGAGACTTCAATATAATCTCCTCCAAGACCAGGACCCAATGTAACTGAATTCACAAAACTATGAGTAACTGCATGTTGCTACCAACAGTAACAAAACCTACAAGAATTACAGAGACTAGTGTTTCCCTATTAGACCACATCTGGACCAACACCATATCCCCTTTAAAATCAGGCACAATCACAGATAATACCACAGACCACTACCCTACCTTTCTCATAACCAATCTAGGTAAATTACCCCAAGACTCTACTAAAGTAACCTTCACACTTCATAATGAGGCAGCCATTAATAACTTCACAACAGCAATGACAAACATCGACTGGCAAACTTGGCTAAAAATCCATGCAGATACTCGGGCGTCGTAAGGGGGGGGCTGCCCCGGGGGACACCATATAAGAGGTGACACCATATAAGGGGTTACACCATATAAGAGGTGACACCATATAAGGGGTTACACCATATAAGGGGTAACACCATAAAGCCTCTAAAGAAGGTAACACTAATGACCAAAACCATGCTGCAGCAACCTACGACACAAATCCTTCGTTTCTATATAGCTTATTACAGGTCCTCCATCACAAATCCGGCATCATTGGGACCTGTAGTGTGCCGGATTACTGAGTTTGCCGAATTACAGAGTGGTTAGGTTAGAATACACTTGATAAAATTAACCAACTTGACTTACACAGTTCATTGAACATCGGCAAAAATCGAACATTTCCCCTACTTTGAGCTCAATTTCAAGGTACTTTTCGTCATGAAAACAATCAAAATCATGTCTATTTCTGTAATATATCTTCCATTCTATCAAATGAGTCCAAAAAATGAGAATACACCCATAAAAACCATACGAAAATATA